AAATGGCAGGCATTTAGATAGTTATCATTAGCCCTTTAGTTGACTTCAGGCTTCACAGATGGGAAGGAACATCAAAGTGAAAAAGGTCGAGATGGGGGGGGGGACAGAAGAGTGTTTCAAAGATGTAAAAGAGACAGACACAAAGTTGGAAAAAAGGTGAGGTGAGTACTATGGAAGTAGTCGAATTTGACATACAGTGGGGTGATGGTAGTTTGGAGTCAGAAGTCAACTGCCAGTTAATGGACTTTTTTGCCGTATGAGTATACGTTGCCCAGGGTGCACCACATGGAGGTAAGTCTATCGCACATCCCAGGTAATGCGCAACATAGAGATCTCCGAACGATTCAATGATCAAGAACATGCAAAAAGCTCTCAGTACGTCGAGAGAAAGGAAGAAAGAACGGTGTACACACTCGACGATGAAGTCATAAATGATATTATGGAGTCCCAAGTAGTTTAATCTTTTTAACACGTGAGTGCGCGGTTGGGTGAATTTATATTTCAATAAATAATTCGGCCAATAAAAAGGAAAAGAAAAATTTCGAATTTTAAAAGCCATTTCATGCTTTGTGAAGACTTCTCGTGCTACTTCTTGTGTGCACGAAATGTAATTTGCAATTTTAATTATTCAATCTCACAATAGAGTGCTAATCACTGTGATACAAAAATGCGACCTAATATCAGGGTACCATTAAAATATGGACCTCAAATTCGGAAATTAAACAGGGTGAGAGATGGGCGTATATTTCGGATATCACCCCAGGACTTTCCATTTATGTAATCATGATGCACTACCTCCACGTTATCTAACCATACTGTGTCACGTCAATCTACGTCATGCAAAACGATATAGAAAGGTCATGTGAAATAAATACTTACTGAGACATGGTTGACCACAGTTGATTATCAGACGTGTCAAAATTCAGTTAGTTTTGAACTCATACTGAGACCAAAGTCATTCTAATCGATGTGTTGAAGAAAACTATAAAATTGTTTAATCGCCATTTAAAGATCTTATTGCACGTTGTGCAACTTCAGAACCTTCCATACCTTCATAGAAGCTTCAATTCCGCCAACTTACTTTCAAGTCGCATGGCATATCAAACAAATGAAAATATTAACCTACCCCCCCCCCAGAATAGTATGAAAGGGACAATGAAATCGTCATCCAGTAATTTTGCTTACGTTCTCTGTCATTTTCCTAATTTGGGTTGGCCAGAATTTAGTCGAGTAAATTGGTACGCGTAATTTGTAGATGGGCCATAGTCGGAATTAAAAGTCATATTGAAAGAGATGATAATAAAATGAGATGCCGAAAAGCTGTGCAACCCTATCTTCCCTTATGTGAAGTCAAATTGTGCCATCTGATATATCCCGTGCAAAAAGTTGGGTTCATTTCATTTGACCTTTTAGAAGGATGTGTGTCAAAGGTTATTACATTCACCTTCCAAAAATGAGCAATATTTCCTCGCAATAAGAGTTTAATTGTTTGTTCATTCTATGTACATAATAATTGAATCGGTTTAATTGCTCAATAAATAAGTACCAATTAACAAGCAATAAATCCGCCCATGGAAGTCTAAAGGGGGGTAATGATGTAAGTCGTGAATAAAAGCATTAGAAACCGATTAAAAACGTTCCTTACCAACGTGTAATCGGAAAGGGGCAACGCAACGCAAATCAACCCACCCTTCTAATAAACTCTGAATATTAGCTTGCTCTACCCCAGTAGGCGTTAATCAAATTTATACAAAAATACTCTTGCCAATGAAAGTACCTGTCCAAGGATCGGCATATCTCGTTCCAATGAAAACGACTTTGAGATTTGGAGAATCATGTTTGAGTCGAGCAAGACCCTGCTTGATATGACCAGAGTAGACTATGAGGCTGGGATGCTCCGCAGAACACTTCTGAACCCAATTTTCGCCTGAACTACTGTCCAATCGGGAGATTTTAGTCGACTCATACTGATAGAAATCCAATGTAGATTCAACAAATGTCTCAACCTCAGCAAACGGGGTCTGTTCTCGAACATAGAAGAGTTGGGGTCGTTTAAAAGGTCCCTTAGAACCGCTATTCTTATTCAACACCGCAAATAGAAGATGCAGAAGAGCGATGCAGTCTTTACCACCATTAAAACTCAGAATTATATCTTCGGTTCTAAAATTATTAAGCATGATAAAATTCAACATTAAATTAACGATTTATGTAGTCGACTCGTAAGTCAAACAAAGATTAGACTTACCCGTAACGATCGATAATTTCTGTAACTATTTCAATTGAGTGCTTTAGCTTTTGACCAAACAGCGTGTTTTCTTGTGACATTTTGTAAACTCGATCGACAGCATTCACCACCGCATCACTATCATAGTTGACGAGTTCTAAACAGAAATAACAAAATTATCAGGAAATGTGAACAAGTGAAGTTTGTCTTACCGTCTCCTAGGAGCTTTTCCAAGGAGGATTGAGCGATTTTCAAAGTTTGCAGGTCTTGGGATTCAAGAAAGATACGAACTTTGTAGTACCTAAAACAATTTTAAAACAATAATTTAACATTGAAGTTCTAAGAGATCGACTGTATTCCACGGCATGGAGGAAACCAGTGCTTAAAATATCGATCTTTTACAAGACCTCGAGCATACGAAATCATAATTAACAAATGACAAGATATTGCAACCGCATTCTCCACAAATATATCCAAACATGAATAGAACGAACGCTGCTCGCGTGCCCGAAAGTGAGTTGAATCATAAAGAACAAAACCCAAATTCAGGCTTAAAAAACGTTAAGCGTCAACTAATTTGTCGAATTACCAACAAGTTATCTCCCAAGAAAAAGGTTGCAAAGAAAATTTGAAAATTTCTTCAAACTCACTGGTTGTTTTGGACGGGATAGGAACCAACAAGAACAGAATTTTGGAATTCCGCAGCAAAATCACCAAGACGATTAGCCAAATGGGTTTCCTCTGACGTGGTATAGAGATTTCTGCTGAAGTATTTCATATTTGGGTCCTGAATGTACGGCTAAAAGGGGAATAAACAGAGATAACACCGATTAATACAATTTGGCGTATGCTAAATGGTAAGTAACAACCCTAGGACTTAATTGACACTCGAAATCCTTCTTGAAATCATCGCACACCGACGAGGGTTGAAAACATATCAATTCGTCATAACCTAACCGTGCGTCCATTGCACAATGAACCAGTTTATATAATGAAGGTAGGAGCAATTAGCATGAATAAACCGATAGAGAATGGAATCGACCAATCAGCAAGCGCGAATGGGCAAACCCAATCACGAGAGAGACGCGTGTATTTCGTATTAGTTAATGGCGCCGGGAGGACTTATAGAACCAACTAAGTATATTTTTCCACTGAACCACATCATTTCATACTATTAGAATCATTAATTAATGGTCGCAACCGAATCTCCTATTGTGCGACAATTTTATCCACTTAATATTAACTTTTATGATAATTCAAGAATTGTAGCATAAAGAGATTTACTTTAATGAAATCAAATCCCAATCTAAAGAATTGTGGAAGCCCAGGGAGAACAAAGACATTTTTGACGCTGAGAACTGGATACTCAGATGTTTGATTAGTTTTTGGATCTTTTCCATAGATTAGTCTTGAAGATGCAGGGACTCGAGCTAATCTCAAACGATGGTCATCAACAGGAAGATCCGTTGCCCGACAACCAAATTCAGACTCGATGAATTTTAACAAAGATGGATGTAGAATTAAATTTTCATCAAAAGCATCTGCAACAGCTGAAAAGTATTAATTAGTTGTTGGAAGGACAGTTCTAACCTTCGTAAGTTAGATCATCATGAGTTATGCCGATTCCTCCCGAGGTCACAACGACATCGTAGTCTTTACTAAATTTTTGGATCTCCTTAGAGATCACTTTGGCAATATCCGGAATAATCGACACGCGCTTGAGCTTGAGACCACACGAAGGGGCTTGATGGGCCACAAAAGCAAAGTTAGTATCCACAACATCACCCCGAAGAATCTCATCGCCAATAACTAACAATAAGCTTTGGACTTGCAATGAGGCATACCGATTACTCCTAAGGTTTTGTTAATTTTGAGAGGAACCGGCTTCAAAGTAGAGAAGCACTTCATTGAACAAAGCTCAAAACAAAACCTCCGAAGGAAAGCGTCTGCGAGATAAATTAGCGCAAAAATTATTAATCAATCAAATTGAAATCATATTTAATGGTAAATGCAGCTATATATGCTATTTTTAAAGATAATCGTTTCCAATGCAAGCAGAAAACGTAAATATCGTTGCAAAGATTTCAAAACTGACTCCGATGGTATAAATTAATAGCAAAACAAAATTTTTCTTTATCATATTTTATTATAAACAGATACGTAGATTTTGGCCGACATACGGTTCTAGCCACAAAGCCAGATACCTCAAGAAATCTCGAAGTTGAATTGTCTAAGGTCATTAGAAGAAAACAAACAATGCAAAAAAATTTATAAACGAAAACGCAAAGGACAAAACATTATTGTATCAGGCACTTATTGTAGATTAACTTAGGAATCGAAAATACAGACAGATATTTCGTAAGAGCAAATGCCACAAATATTAAACTTTGACAAGGTTAGGTTCAATAAAACCATTGCACTTATGTTGAATTGTTTTTGACGCATATTCTGTTTGCTAATTATGTGTAATCATGTGAAAAAAAGAGTTCTATTACCTTATGCTATTGCTTAAAAAACTAAATTGCTCAGATTTCAGCGCCCTCAATCTATAAAGAGGTTGATAGAAGTCTTATTTTACTAACAGGCACAATTATTTTATTATTAGTTTTAACGACAACAGAACAGGCAGAAATATCATAATGAATAAATTCTCAAATAATAAAATTTTCAATGCATTTTGCGAAATCTGTCGCCTCAAGGAGTTATAATTTTAAACATATAAATGTTTTGAAACTGTTTATCCTGTTAATAGCTGGACACAATTTATATTTACCATTTTCTATCACCTCGCAAATGATCATGTCAATGCGATATGACCACGAAAGCACATATCTAATGCCTCTTACGCATCCACTGTTATTCAAGCATTTCCGTGTAATACTGGCTCTCCTATTATAGCAACTATGACATTATACAGATCAGCATAACCTCCTAGTGGCTTACAAATGTATCTCATTCCCACACTCTTGAGTGGTCGTCCATTGAAAAAATAACATCTTTTATATTCCATTAGTAGTTTTACAAAGAGGTTCATTTTCATCTGTTTTCTGTTCAGCTTTTGAATGGATCATGAAATCACCTGCAGTTACACAATACCAGAACCTGTCGCCTTCATAGAGGTTTGTCGATTAATATCACGATTTGCTATATAATGCTAATTATAGTATCAGTTAACTTAATTATTGCTTCGAAAACCAATGCTTACCATCACCACCCTCGGTCCTAACCCTAATCATTTCGCCACCTCGGATTTCTGTAAACGCATCATATTGCTCACGTTTTTACCCAGGCTTATGCGTTTCAGAGAGACCATTTTTCCAAGCAACATATCAAAAGATCGTCAAATATGTTATCATAGGTCTAATACGCAAAAGAAATCACATTACTCGTGAAAAAAGGCTTCAGAAAAGGAGTGATTAAACATTTCTAGGGTGTCTCCTCCAATGGGGGAATCTGGTCCTGAGCAATTAGAAGTGCTGCATTACATCCACTAATTATGGCTAGCTCCATATTAGATGCCACCTCCTCCATGGCATTCACGTAGATCAACCCATCTGCAAGAACAAATTTGGAGAACCCACTCTCCAGGTTCTCAGCCTGAAAAAAAACAACAAATAGTTTGAGAAAAATCAAAATACTAAGTGAATATCAGTAGCAAATGCCATTTTTAACCATACCCTCTGCCATGCAAAATGTGGATACGCATACCACGTAGTAGAATTGACGAGTTTCCACCCAGGAAGCGCATACTTTTGTGGTATTTCAACTTCGGGGTTAGGAGTTCGGCCGGAAACAGAAAAGGCTGAAAAACATCCAATAGCCTTGTCGCCCTCCACCTTGGGAGCGCTGGACCAAGCACGACCGAGGTATTTGAAAAGAGTACTTCCATTCGACGCATATCCTTCCTCTGTGGGTAAGATTGTAACACCACTCTGACCACCATCTTTCAATTTATCTATAAATAAAATAACATGTCAACACTGCTACTCTCTCGCATATACCACCCCAGATTATTCCACTACAATGCCTACATACTCACAACAAATAATAAGGTAGCATTACTGCTACAACACTGACCAACCAGGCCACTTGTCAGCGACATATTCCAATTATACATAGAAGTGTTTGTCATTAATAAATTACTAAGCCGTCAATAAGCTTGGGGCTTTCTAACTTCTTCTTCCTTTAGGACTTGAGCATCCCAAACAACTACTGTTATGGCAGTCGCACACATATCAATGCCTCTTTCATTTGTCATTCGTTGACAGCACTACTTTCTCAATATTCTGTGACTTAATATAACCTTTAAGGAAATGATTGTCCTTACCTCCTGGAAGGGAAAACATCTCTCCGCTCAAATCACCATGGAAATGAATGAAGTTCACCTTCTTGTAAGGTTTCGCCTTTGGAAGAACTTTGGCAATATCCAGATCTGCTTCAATCCCTGATTCCTCGTGTAGCGGGAAGGCCAACACCACATAGTCGAACTCCTCGCTCTTTTCGCTCCCACTATCCTTCTCCTCGTAGGTCAAACGATACCTAGATTGGAGTAAATTGGAGACTCTAATGTGGCGACTTTTGATCACTAGTGTATGCTCTGAATCAGTAAGCCAGTTATTAGGACATGTAAGTCGGCATCCCAGCTATTGCGAAAACCTACTACAATTCAGTACGAACTACACACGGTGTGCTGTACTTCACTGACCACTAGCTTAGTTCTTTGAATGTCGCTCGTCTTTCCGGGTTCTGATTGTCCTAGGAATAGTATTTCCACGAGTCCTTGTTTGCCACGAAAATTTCATTTATGTGAGTCATATGGACTAAATCGGGCAAAGTGAGCATCACTCCAAAGCCCTCATTCAGTTTGAGGACAAAGAAAACAAGACCTGAGATACACCCAACCACAACCTCGAGGTGATTAAAACGGAAACTGTCATTGTGACGAACAAGTCACTTCCTCTCACTCTTCCACCATTTGGTCTCCCTCAAATTGAAGAATATCACATCATTTCATTAAAGCCTGCCTTGTTCATAAAATGTGCTATAATAAATCCCTACTTGAACACTTTGTTCCAACACTTCTCCAACCAAACAATCATAGACAGGAACAGATCGTTACGGCCCCAATACGGAAATACTAGCTATCCTCATTCATCTCATTTACGTGATATCCGTAGTGATTGTCACCTCTTATCAGCTGTTTGCATAAACCTACTTTTTGGTAAAGAACGATTTGTCGGACTTCCCATTGATCAGAAGAAACTAGGTAAGCCATTATAACCAAGATTGCCACTGGACTTAGTGCTCAAAGCTTACCATGACACCACCACAACCACCGCCACCACCTTAAATGTTCATTTAACTTCCATCCCATGGACAAAACAAACGGCCTGTGTTTTCTTTCACGAATGGTCATTCATAACAGAATTTAATTAGGATTCTGAGAATTCTCCCTCTCCCGCACCAAGTGACCCCAAATGTGAACAGAATTGACAAGAGTGATCGATTCCCCCATTACTGCAAACAAGCACTCTGAACACTGAACATTCAACAATGAAACCATCAGTGCAGATTTTGTAGCAGAATGTCATTTCTCACCTTCTCTGCGATCCTCTAGAAATCTTAGTGACTGGTGTATTCAACGAGACTTCGCGTGGAATGCCTGGTGGATTGGAATTAAGAGCGCGCGAAGCAAGATTCCGAGCTATTTGTTCGTTCCCTCCAACGATCGAATACAGCGATGCACCAAAACCACTGCATGCAGTCATACCTGAAAATAAAATGACACATTTTACCACAATTTGAAATGGACGGATGCAAAATTTTATAACTCCACACAGAAAGGGCCACTATTTCTTGACTTCTGGAGTATGACTTGGCCATCTAACCATAAAATGAGATACACCCCACCTTCTGTCTATCAAACAACCCCTTAACTGCTAATTGTTTATCGATTTGTTCCATTTAAATGACCAATGAGTTTTATATTAACTAGATATGCTTTGCCTGTGACTCATACATCGCCAAGTAATATGATCATCGATTCTTACTAGTTACCCCCACCCTCCCTCCCTCCCTCTCGGCTTGACATTAACTCTAGTGGCCACTCGATTCATCAACTGACTGACCTGCATCACTCTGTTCAACTTGTGCGTGTGCCAATGTTCTCACTCCCCCAATTCTCCCACCACTTCCTGTCTTGACTTTAGTGGATTTGACAGAAACGCGACCAACCTACCTGCAAATGCATGCACCGTCAGATCTGAGCAAAAGCAGTTAGCAACCATTCCATAGGCCACATCATTGCAGAACTTCTTTGATAGCTTGAGGTCCATATCCAACCACTTGCCGAACGATGTTGACAGCATCGACACGAACTTCGAGGAGATAGCTTCGAGCATTCGTACTGGGCTATCAAATGCCTCTCTCCTCTTTTGAAGCTCATATATTCTAAAGAATACAAATAGGGGTTAAATTAGAAACCTCCAGTTTTTAAATCACAATGGCCCGACTCTATGGCATATGAAACCACTTCCACATTACTCATCTTACTTTTACGTTTGTCCGTCACATTCGTCCCCCCCCCAGACCCCCATACACTCAACTATTTGTGACTTTGCAAGTTCCTCCCCTCTCTGAAGCCAGATGTCAACCAAAGGGCTAATATTGACTATAATAGAGTGACACTTGATATGACAAAATAATTGAAATAGAGAATTACGAGATTAGAATATTATTAATTAATTAATATCAAATGGCAGGCATTTTGATAGTTATCATAAGCCCTTTAGTTGACTTCAGGCTTCACAGAGAAGAAGGAACATCAAAGTGAAAAAAAGTCGAGAGGAGGAGGGGAAGGGGGAACAGAAGAGTACTTCAAAGATGTTAAAGAGAGAGACACAAAGGTAGAGTGAAAAAGATGAGGTGAGTACTGTGGAAGTAGTCGAATAGGACATACAGTGAGGTGATGGTGTTTTGAAGTCGGAAGTCATAACATACAGTGGGGTCATGGTAGTTTGAAGTCAGAAGTCAAGGCATACAGTGGGGTCATGGTAGTTTGAAGTCAGTGGTCAACTATACAGTGGGGTGATGGTAGTTTGAAGTGAGAAGTCAACTACCAGTCAATAGACTTTTTTCCGCATAAGTATACGTTGCCCAGGGTGCACCACATGGAGGTTGTAAGTACACGTTGCCCAGGGTGCACCACGTGGAGGTAGCCGTATGGAAGTGATAAGTCAACTGCCGGTTAATAGACTTTTTTGCCGTATGAGTGGGTTGCCCAGGGTGCACCGCGTGGAGGTAAGTCTATCGCAACAACTGCCGGTTAATAGACTTTTTTGCCGTATGAGTATACGGTGCCCAGGGTGCACCACGTGGAGGTAAGTCTAAATATACATTGCCCAGGGTGCACCACGGAGGTAAGCCGAATGAGAATACGTTGCCCAGGGTGCACCACGTGGAGGTAAGGTGTAGTATACATTGCCCAGGGTGCGCCACGTGGAGGTAAGATAGCTTGAACTCAGAAGTCAACTGCCGGTTTATAGACTTTTTTGTCACATGAGTATACGTTGCCCAGGGTGCACCACGTGGAGGTATGTCATTTGAGTATACGTTGTCCAGGGTGCACCACCTGGAGGTAAGTCTATCGTGAGTATACGTTGCCCAGGGTGCACCACGTGGAGGTGTATGAGTATACATTGCCCAGGGTGCACCACGTGGAGGTAGCCGAATGAGAATACGTTGCCCAGGGTGCACCACGTGGAGGTAAGGTGTGAGTGTACGTTGCCCAGGGTGCACCACGGACTCTTTTGCCGTGTATACGTTGCCCAGGGTGCACCAGTTTGTTTGCCGTATGAGTATACGTTGCCCAGGGTGCACCACGTGGGCAGTTTGAAGTTGGGTGATGGCAGTTTGAAGTGAGAAGTCAACTGCCAGTTAATAGACTTTTGGTAGTTTGAAGTCAGAAGTCAACTGCCGAATAATAAAGTGGCAGTTTGAAGTCAGAAGTCAACTGTCGGTAAATGTAATTTTGCATAGTTTGAAGTCAGAAGTCAACTGCCAGTTAATAGATTTAGTAGTTTGAAGTGAGCATACGTTGCCCAGGGTGCACCACGTGGAGGTGCCGTTTGAGTATACGTTGTCCAGGGTGCACCACCTGGAGGTAAGTCTATCGTGAGTATACGTTGCCCAGGGTGCACCACGTGGAGGTGTATGAGTATACATTGCCCAGGGTGCACCACGTGGAGGTAGCCGAATGAGAATACGTTGCCCAGGGTGCACCACGTGGAGGTAAGGTGTAGTATACATTGCCCAGGGTGCGCCACGTGGAGGTAAGACCGTATGATTATACGTTGGCCAGGGTGCACCACGTGGAGGGGTATACGTTGCCCAGGCTGCACCACGTGGAGGTAAGTTTATAAGTCTATTGCACACCCCATGATACCTATCATAACGCCTGCCATTTGAAAACACACCCCAGATTAGAATATTATGAAATGTAAAATACTGCTTATAAGAAAGTGTTAACAGAATTGAAATAAAGTGCAACATCTGATTACCCGACCGGAGTCACTCTGATAAAAAGAATTCGCGCACAGCTACGGGTGACCGTCCACGTCACTGATGTGTACCGAAGACCATTCATCTTGTTAAACATTACTACAATTTTACCTCGTTAGTGAAGAGCTTTTACACGACTTCATAGTGCCGTGCATCTGAGTACAGAGAGCAATAAATTAATTCAATTACTTGGGGGAATGCGATAGAGTAGGATTAAAAGCATCCAGAGTCGTTCAATCACCTCGGTGATCGCTAAATAAGTCACTAGAATACCAGAATGCACAGATGAGCTTTCAGCACATTGTGCATAAAGTGGAAGCAATACAAGTTGTTTATCTAAGGTGCACATCAATTCCAGGTATGTCAAGTATTTATTTTAGAACACTTTTTTGAAAAGCAAGTGAGCGTTATTTCAATTTCCACCTATTCAAAAGAACCTCGCACCCTGATTCATAGGTTCGCTCTATCTCTGGTGTAGGCATGCCAAATTTTAAGTTTGTGGTTCCTAAAAATGCCTCAAAGGCGTAATGGCTAATACAGGATAAAACCAGGCAGTCAATCAGAGACGAACTAACTTCATTAGACTTACTGCCCGAACTCCTCCACGTGTCGACTGACTCTAACTTTGAATACACATAAGTCTAAGCAGTATTTCATTGCGAAAAGAAGTCTATTAAAGAAAAGTGGTCCATCCTTGGTAAACCAAGCTGGAGGAGAAGCGGGTCCTTTATATAGACACAACGCATCATCTGATGGAGGATGTTGAAACACTTCGAGATCTGTAACAATAGTATAGTGAGAAGGTAAAACTAAAAAAAGGGGCAACAAAAAGGAGGCGGGTGGGATTGAAAATCTTGAACGTACGAAAATCTTTTGCGAGCATGCGCATATATTTGTGGTTTGATGTGAATATCGCACCTCCAGATTCGTACAACTCCTTTCCATTGTTATACTCAATAGCTCGAACACGACCGCCGATATGATTTGAACATTCAAAAATCCTTATTCCCAAGGTGTTGCCAAATAGATACCGAAGAAAGTAAGCCGTTGAACATCCCCCGAAACCCGCACCGACAATAGCTAAAATTACATATGACAATATAGATAAGGCCAAAACCACTTCAAGATATATGCAGTCGATAAACCACCCCCAGGATAGTCCAAATTTTGACCTTCCGAACATCTCACACAAAACTGTAGAGCTAGGAGACATCAACGCCCATTCCACCATATGGGGCTATGAGAAAACAAACATAGCTGGAAAGGAAATCTAAAGCATGCCTAACAACAACCCTCTAGAACTTATTTGTAGCAATGAAGATCCTGCTACATATTTGCACTACAATGGAACCAGAACAACTCCTGACTTGCTCCTGGTTTCAAGCGACATCAGTGAGCAAACGCACCATAAAATAATTGACGATCCTGATTCTGGTTACAAACCAGTCATTGCTAGTATTACCATCGGCAGCAAAAGCATGACAACGAAAATGCCAACTAGGCTATCATGGAACTTCAGGAAGGCCGACTGATCTAGATTCACAAACCTTTTAGAGAATGAACTTCACACAGGTTCTCTCAACTTCAACCAACATCCTGACTAGCTTTGCAACGAAATCACGAACATTATGATCAGATGTGCAAAGAAAACTATTCCCCGTGGCATCATGATTAGATGTGCAAAGAAAACTATTCCCCGAGGCAAGATTACACACTATCGAGTGTTTTGGTCTAAACACCTTGAGGTAGCAAATATTATGATCAGATGTGCAAAGAAAACTATTCCCCGTGGCAAGACTAAACACCATAGAATGTTCTGGTCTAACCACCTTGTGTAAATGAAAAGAAGGCGGGACGCCCTTCGCAGCACTGTTGAACAGACTGGGAGAAAGGAAGACGTACAAGCCTGGAGACGACAGTAAGCTGTCCGAAGGCAAGCCGTCTTACAATCCAAACGAACTACCTTCGACAAATCCATCTCAAATATCAACTAACAAAATGGTAGTCAACACACATTCAAATTCATGAGTAACCTCCAAAACAGCAAGAAAAGATCTAAGAAAGAACCAATACGCTTAAACAACAAACGACTACGAAATAGTTTGCGAGGTTCTATTTTCACAAGCAAAAGAAAAACCTTTTTGTCAGAAAATCTTCAAGAGACATGAATAAACAAGACAGTTTAGTGAAATTAAGGAGAACACAATATCAAATAGTGTACTTACTGAACCATTCAGACCTTGCGAACTTAATGCTGATGTACTTACTGAACCATTCAGACCTTGCGAACTTAATGCTGAGATAAAACAGCTAAAATGCAAAAAGTCTCCTGGAGAAGACGGTATTCATCCAGAATTTCTATTTAGAATTGGGCCAAAAGCCAAGGAAACCATGCTAACCCTTTACAACAAATTCTGGAAGACCAGTCTCGTACCTTACCAATGGAAATTTGCCATAGTAATACCAATACTAAAAAAGAGCAAAGACCCTGGCAACTTTGACAACTATAGGCCTATCTCATCACAGGCGTGGGCTAAATTTATAGAAAGAATGGTTAACAGGAGGCTGACCTGGTTACTTGAGACTAACAATATTCTTTTGAACAAGCTGGTTTCAGGCCACAAAGATCAATGAACCAACAAGTGGCTACTTTCTCTCAACACATCAAAGATGCCCTT